GCTGTGATGATTGGTACCACATGCATTGAGTCTATGTTGCATTTGCATTTATGAGCATTTGTGTATAATTATGACATTGTGCCCTTTAAGGCATAATTGAAGAATATCAATGTGTTGAATATAACTATGAGTAATATGTCGTTTATGCATTAATTGTTATACATTGATTATTATGAATTGTCTTACTCACCCTGCCTGTTTGAATGTTACCTCCACGTGGGTAACGTGCAGATGAGCAAGTTTAGTTGTGGACGCCGTCGAGGAGTATTTTGAAGTTTTAGAGTCGTTAGCCTTTATGGTTAATTTAGAGGGTCTTGCTCTGATATGTAACATCTGGTTGGGTTCTTTGAGTTGATTGTATATCATTGGGTTATTTTACTGATGTTCCCTTATGAGGAAAATATTGAGTTATGTTTGAGTTCCGCTGTATATGACGTTTTGATATATTTTGAGAAAACCCGTGTATTACGGAGTATTGACCAATTTTATTGACTTTGAGAAATGTACGCCATTTTGTGGCTTTTTAATGAAAGTTAATATTTTATTCTGAAATCCGTGTTATTTTGCCGTAATATCTGTGGGGTAGAATAAGGGTGTTACAATGAGTGCTGCACTGATTGGATTCTCATGCACTTCATATTTGTTTTAAGATTTGTTCAGTCCAAGTTTCTACTAAAGTTGCTTGACATAAATATTTGATTGTAAGAAACTTATTAAGCAAGATGTCTGGAACATGTTAGAAATCTTGGCATCTTGGCGTGCAGACTGATCATACTGCACTAAATGTTCGCTTCAGCATTTGGTTAGAAAACCTGTATTAATTCTGATACAATAATAAGTTTACTTTTGGAAGAAGTTTGTTAATCCAAATCAATTTGGAAAAGATTTTATTCAAAAAAGAAGATTTGATTGGATTGGATTTGCATTGAAGAAAAGATGAAGATTTGATTTGATTGGATTTTCTTTGAAGAAAATATTTATTTGAATATTCCTTGAAGGAAGATTTATTTTAGATTTAATTTATTTAAGATTGTGCTGAAATTGAATATGCAAAGATTTTATTCTATATAAGTAGTTCATCTCCTTTGTGAAGACACAGACCTCAAGACAAAATATATACTCATTAGTAGAATTTTTTTTAGTTGATTCTTTGTTTTTGTTTGTATTTTGTACACTTTATTCATGTGCTTCAAATCTAAATTAGCTTAATAGAGTATTGAATTTTAAAGGTTATTATAACATTCATCTTATTATTGTAATTGTCCAAATACCAAGAGAGTGTTTTGAGTGAAAGTGAGAGGGATCTCTTATTTAGGGTGAGCCTGAATGAATCTTCACAGGTAGTATTAGGAAAGTGGCATTGAATCGGGAGAGTTCAGAGTAAGTCCATTATTCTGACTATTGGGAGTGGAGTCGTTCTATAGAGAGTCCTGAATAGAAATTCATGGGTAGTATTAGGAGAAGAGGCATTGAACAAGATTTTTCCATCTAAGACTATTTGTACTTTTACTATTGAGAGTGAATTTCCTTTCTTTGGTTGAATGTCCTCCAGACGTAGATGATATTGCACCGAACTGGGTTAACAATTCATGTGTTCTTTACTACTTTACGATTCAATTCCTATAATCAATTAATCTTCTATAAGCATGTTGTAGACATTGTCTCAAACATTGTGTTCAACATTTGTTCTATGAAGAACAGAATTTCAATGAAAAGTCACAAATGCCCTTGGAATCCGGAGATGCATCTCCGGAAGCACCTTTTTAAGCCATTTATCAAAAAAAATTGAAGAGACGCTTGTGTTATGCCAAAATTTAATTTGGAGATACATCTCCGTATGAATAAATGGTGAGTCCGAAGATGCATCTATGTATACACCATTAATGTAAAATTCAATGGATAGTACAAAGATGCATGTCCGGATAAGCTGAATACTTTAACTTGTGCCAAAACCTTCCCTCTCCCTCCTTCATTTGTTCAAAACTCACTAACCTAAAAAAAAATCCAATTGGTGCTCTTATTCCATTCAATCTTTTTTTGCCAATCAAGATTCTCACTGCACTCTACTTGATTTCCTGCAAAGGTTCTCACTTCATTCAATCTTCTCTTCAACAACTTAGAATTTGGTAAGTTCTTCAAAAAAAAAAAGCAATCCTTTCTTTGTGTTTTGAATGAACTTTTAGAAAGAAAAAAGTTGTTTAAGTTGCATTAGTTAGTGTGCAGTCGAAATAAGTTGTTTATGAATTGAAAGTTTGTTGGATTTTAGTAGTGCAATGGTGTTTCTGTCATTTTTACAAAATCGTAACTTTGTATGGAGATGCATCTCCGGATTCTTTCTGAAATTTTCTTGGAGATGTATCTCTGGATTACTCTATGTCTGAATTTTGAATGAATTTGTGATATAGGTGTCATTTTTTAACGCAAATATAATGGCTAAAAACAACCCTGAAAGAATTAGGCTCAATCGCATGTCCCAAATCTCGTTAGTACGACGTGAGAGGGCTGCAACCAGGACCACGGGGCCACGAGTTGATGGTAACTTGTATGATGATTTTCATCGCAGATATTCCCAACCATCTGGTTCTGCTTCTCATAATATCCTCTCTTAAGCATCTACTTCATGAGGCCACGAGTCCCCAGATGAAGTAGCAAAGCCTGAAGTCCCCAAAGCCCTAGAGGAAGCCGATGTCGATGCCCCTTTAGAGAGTTACCCATGAGGCCCCTTTGACACCTTCGTACTTAATCTTTATGCAGACCATGTTGTTATGCATATCAGGGAAGGAGAGTTATATGTATTGTCTTTTACAATACATATGTTTTCAACTAATTATATCGATGCTAATCGTGATATTTTCTTTTTTACATGAGCGTACGTGTTTGAAATCAATTAACCAATGCAGAAAGATATTGGAGTTTCCACAACTCACTGTTGCTTGGTTCATTGATGTTATCCCTTATTCTGGACTTGACGGTTTATGTTATGTTGCGTACATGGTCATAAACCACGGCATGCATGCAACTTTCGTAGAGACGTGGCATTCTGAGACGTCATTTTTCCACCTAGGATGACGTCTCATGCCTCCTGCATCTTCCCATCAGTGGGAGATTACTGGACCACGGAAGGATCGAGCGAAAGGAAGTCGTCGATATGATGGTCACCCGTTTAGAAGATGACTCTGCTTAGGCCGCACAAGAGGCCTATAACACAAGAGGTTCTCATGCAAGATTTAGTTTTTTGTCAAATCTTCATAAAGACCATTTGTAAGAGGCCTTGGATGCTGAATATGATGATGTGTTTGTTGAGTACCACCGGCAGTGTGCATTTTGGGGTTAGCTTTTATTCCTAGTTGGTATGTCCATGCTTATGGACAAAAGTGTAATCTATGCCGATGTGACCTACCTTAAGTACTTCATCAACCTAACTGCAATTCACGAGTATAATTGGGAAACGCCTGTTTGGTCTACCTGCACTCAAAGTTTGACAAAAAATGTCTTTAAAAGACAAAGTAGATGATAGGGAGCTGCACGCATCTTACGATAATTTATTGTTACTAATATTTTCATAATTTATTTGTTACACTTGTTATTAATATTATATTCGGGATGGATCATCTGCCACTTCTCTCTCATCACTAGGTGGAAAGTTGCTCCTAGCTACACTAAGGACTGGCCACGTGCTGCCGCATTTGTTCCGTACATGGGAAATAGTGTGGTCGAGCCATTCAGAGTGTATCTTGATCGTCATGTACCATATGATGTTTGCTTCTGTCCAACAAGAGTCACCGCGAGACGCGTTAGTTTGACGTTATTTTCTTATACTCCGGATGGCTAGAATGTGAGTCATCTCTTATGTATTCTTATCTTCCTGAACGAGTGATGTGCCAATTTGACCACTTGCAAGATTATTTTGAGACCTCACTATGAATTTGCTCCTCCCGGTGAAAATTAATAATTTAAAAGTGAATTACACATTTATTTTGCAAAAAAAAATGGTTTGAAAATATAATTCTAAACTAAATTCAAAAGGATGTTTACCTAATAGAGACGAATGGTGTCACTTGGTTTGAAAGTGGCTATTGATACTGTTGTTAGTATGATGTGATGCAAAAAAAATATGGCTTCAGAACTCAGTTAGGAGCACAAGAAATAGGAGAGAGCCGGTGAACCCTCCGAGTATTGTGTATAGTTCTGACGATGCAAGTTTTCCATGGTACATTTCTTAAGTGAGAGAATGACAATGAATAAAAGAAAGAAATACACCATGGAACTCCTAGACCCTGCCATGGCCTTCTTATAGCAATGGCAAACAAAGAAACAATTTTAGAATATCCAAAACCCAAATATATCACACAACAATGAGTTCTCAGCACAAATTGAGCATAAGTATATAAAGCACCTTATACCAAAACCAGTAAAGCCTGTTTTCTCATTATTTGAAATTTTGACCTTGTCCCTTTTCTCCCAGAATAATATCAACTATGATTTGAATGAAGAATAATAATATCTTACACATTAAAATTAACGAATCTATTTTCTTGCCACTTTAAAGTATAAAGTAAGTAATATCAACGATTGATAAATAAACCAATAGTTAACATCACATGTACATACATGAAAAATCACAAGTATGCTGAATTAATGGTTGAGATTACTTACTTTACTCTCTACTCACTTTAGACGCGCCGAATCCAAAATGTACATTCGCTAAAAGACTCGAGACAAAGGGTAAAAAAATTCCAATTACAGGTGAAAAAATGGAGCTTGTCTCTGTCCAAAACAAGCAGTCAAAGAAGTATCCATATCTACCATAGCAGTTGCCAATTGGTCTTCTCTTCACTCTACATCTATCTCCACAAGTTTGTATCCAAAATCACTGAAAACAAAACAATGTTCCCATTTGAAAGGTATCATGTGTTCCATGTATGAATTTACTGCCAATTTGTCTGTTCAATAAGAGCACAAGGGTATTAAGGAACTAGAAGAAGAAAAAAGTTTAAAACTTAAGCCTCTCTTCCTTCATGCTCCAGCCTCTCTATATCAGGTAAGCGAAATGATGGCTCGGGACATATCTCATTTGAATGACGTCTCCGCGAGGATGAACTACTTGTTGCTGAAAGCTTCAAACTACTAGCTCCTTCTAATTTTGTACCGGAAGCTGCAGGGACTGTGGCTACATCAGACGAGCTCTGACGCCAACTACCAAACAAAGTAGCATTCCAAGAGCCTCTAGAAGAGGTTGCTTTAAGCCGCGCAGAACTCGAACTTTCTTCTCTTACAACTTTTAAAGGGTTTTCCAATGCCTTGAGAACGTATCTCATTGGGGGTCGTCTTGAAGGTTTCGGGTTTAGGCAAGACCTGGCAACAATGGATATTGCCCACACTTCCTCTAAGAAATCCTCATCCACAACAAGAGACGGGTCGACGATTTTTGTCACGGGCTCCTTGTCATACATGCTAATGCAAGGTAGAATCTGATCAAACCAATCCTTCAATTCACCCTCACTTGATGCACTAATACCCAGCTTACCAGTCACAAGTTCAAGTAACACTTTCCCAAAGCAATAAACATCATAGGCACAAACAGATGTTGGTAAACCTGTTTTCACAGTACATAATTACCACAAGTCAGAAAAGCAGAAAATACATTTACCACAAGCATATAAAACAAACCACAAGATCAATCACTTGATACAAATTATTCATATAAAATACTCAATCTTGCAAGCTAGCACTTGTGACAAGGTATGTTTCAAGTTATCTAAATTCATCTCCCAGAATAACTTTTTTAAAAAATTGAGATGGGAATATCCATTACATATATTGTTGGGAATGTGTTTAGATACTTTGAAATAAACACACCACCCTAAAGACAAGTACAGACCAGAGGGACATCCAACTGCCACTCTGAAAATGCAAATCTAGCTCAAAACAACCAGGACAAAGTGGAAAGTTTCTTTTCTGATACTGATATTCCTATTTCTACTTTGTGGTTCACAGACACAACTCACTGATAGTCTGAACACCATTATATATCAACGAATAGATGAGAATTTCTCAATGCCTCACACCATGGTCAAAACCCAATGGTGTGTTTAGATAAGCTCATTTTCTGTTCAAAGTAGCTTATAAATCTTACTGATACGGCTTTTAGGGGAGGGGGCATTTTTTCCCTAAGTAAGCAAATCCAAGTATTTGTAAGAAGGAAAGTGCAGAATAATGGATGATACAGACAAGCAATCAATCAAGGAATAAAATTGACTCCAAATACATTCTGAAAAGTGAAAACTGAACTTAAGTTTCTACTTACCAGATGCACCTTGTTCAGAGGACCTACACATTCAAAATAGAAACGAGAAATTAGATGTGTGATGTTATAGCAAATAATATGCATTCACAAATATGGCATGCAAACAAGTTAAACTCATAATTCAAATCAACTACAAAGTGATGAAATACTGGAAGAAAATATGAAAGAAAGAGCAGGCTAAAAATTGGTTCCATAGTTGCAAAAGGCAAGAAAAGTCAATGAGTAGTGATTACAAAAAAACCCAAATGAGCAACACTCATAATTTAAAACATACGAACAAGACAACACGCGTAAAATATATAATTCTCATGGCATTCATTATATACAATGTAAGTGGAGTACTTACTGAGGCAATCGCAGAAACCGGGTGATTTTACTTTGATGGGTATCACCTTCTTGAGTACAGGCTTCACTTAGACTTCCTAACCGAACCTCATACTTGTCATCGAGAAGTATACTGCTCGCTTGAATATCTCTATAATAATTAAAGACACCGTTATTAAGCTTGAACTAATATTAGGTAAACTTGTTACTTCACCATTCCAATCAATTAGAGAGAATACATTCACAAGTTGAACTTGTTTACAACTTTGTTTTTTTCAACTCTATTGAGTAACAACTAGCAAGTGGATAGTAACACGCAAAAATAATGACAATATCTCTTAAAGATGTCATGTATGTACAGTCACCTTAAACACAGAAACAAACACCAACCATTATGACAGTATCTTTTATAATTAGTTATGGCGATGATAAACCAGGTACCGTATCAGTTCTCAAAATGGAATAGCTTGCCAAAACAGACAAGAAATAAAAATTAAAAAAAACAAGCAAGAGGGGAAATCCAAAAATACCTGTGAACAATAGGTGGAATACAGTCATGATGCAGATACGATATGGCCTCTGCTGCTCCGGTAGCAATCTTTAACCTAGTTATCCAGTCCAATGACTGCAAAGTACCATCTTCAGATGTGGCATTTTTGAAGAATAAGCAATTAGACAAGTCCCCTTTTGGCATAAGTTTATAAACCAGGAACTTCTCGTTTTCGTTTTCTAAGCAGTGACCTAATAAGGGAACAAATCTCGGATGAGAAACCTTATTAAAAAAGTCCAATTCCGATAGGTAAGATTCCTTTTTCATAGATCGCATGTCGATCCTTTTGATGACAACGGGAATCCCATTTTCCAAAACACCGTTGAAGATATCCCCGGTGTGGCCTTGTTTTATAAGATTTGCATCGTTGAAATCTCCCGTTGCCTGAAGCAACTGATGATACGTAAACGAGTCTCCTACATTTGCAAGGTTTATCGATACACCAGGAGGCGGAGGACTGCCTGCAGCGGGAGCAGGGCCCACACCATTTCCCCTTTGACTTGAATTACCCCTTTTACGAGTGCATAAAATCAACAGTACCAGTAGCAAAGCCAAAAGTGCAAGTAAACCAAGTCCACCCAAAACTGCCGCCAATATTATCTTAGTTTTATTACTTTTCCCAGAACCTTCTGTCATATTCGGTTGTCCAAAATTATCAAAACTGAGGCCCCTATCCGCATAAAACGACGCACATTCCACCGTTGACTTCTGATTTGTCGCACCCTGAAGACAGTTACTATCTAATGATCCGTTATGCATGAAATCCAAAACCTTACCCTCATAATAATTGTTTGCAAGATCAACAAAACTGAACCTTCTGAGCACAGGCGTGAGCCCTCCATAAAACATATTATGAGATATATTTAGAACCGCAACAGTAGAATCGACAGAGGACCTAGAATTGGGAAGCAAACCACTGAAGCTATTGGAAGACACATCTACGAACGTCAATCTCGGCAATGACCACAACTCAACAGGCAAAGAACCAGTAAAATTATTTCTCCTCAGAACTATAATCCGCAAGTTCCCCAACCCTTTCAAATCCGGAACAACACCGCCGGAGAAAGAATTCTCACTAAGATCAAGGTCAACCAAGCTAACAAGACCTCCCATTTGTGCAGGCAAAGAATTCAAGCTATTACCAGAAAGATTCAAGTACTGCAACCTAGAAAGATTCCCTAAACCCTCAGGAACAGGCCCGGAAAAAAAATTCCCGGACAAATCAAGTGAAGAAAGACTCGCGAGAAATCCAAAAGACTCCGGTATAATCCCCGTAAGCAAATTCCCCGAGAGATCAAGAACCGAAAGCGACGAGAGTTGACCTAAACTATCAGGAACATTTCCAGTAAAATTATTATCCGAAAGATAAAGAGCAGTAAGCCTAGTCAAATTCCCGATAGAATTCGGAATAGCATTTTCAATCGAACAAGAACGAAGATCAAGCACGCGAAGCTCCCCAAGACTAAACCCAAACAAATCAGGAATAGAACCAGGAAGGTAAAATCCAGAGGCATTAAAAGACTGCAACAAAGTGAAATTAACCAAAGCATCCACAGAAAATTGAGGGTTCATTCTACCAATTCTTGTTCTTCTAAAACCCGAGATATTGATCCCAACAACACGACCATTCCGACACGAAATACCATTCCAGATTAAACAAGGGTCAGGCTTTCTTGGCCATTCTTTGGTTCTCAAACCCAAAGAAGCTCGAAGTTGAAGAAGTGCAGCACGTTCCTGAGGTGAACTCAATGGCTGAATCTCAATCTGTTCCAATGTTACCTCAAAACACAGAAACAATAGCAATAGCACAAACCACAGCATGAATCTTCGATCCACCATTGATCCAATCTTGCTATTAAACCATTGACCTAAGTATTTCAATCACAATTCAGCATTTTAGTATATAATATATAATTACAAAAAAAAAAAGGAAAAACGGAAGAAGAAAAAGAAAGAAAAAAAAACAAGTCTAACCTTCAATAGTTGTTGTTGTATTTTCTACCTACTCTTTTCTTCTTCTTGTTCTTCGGTTCTTCGGGCAGAGGGAAAAAAATAAAGAAGAAATTTAAACTTGGAGAAAATAAAAAAGAAATATATTATTAATAAATAAATAAATAAATAAATAAATAAGATGGGTTGAAATTAAAAATTAAAAATAAAATAAAAAAACTACGTTGGAGAGAGAAGAAGAAAATGATGGTAAAAGGTTTGGTGATGGTTATGATAGTGATGGTGGTGACGGTGGTGATGGTGGTGGTGGTGGTGATTTTTCTCTCTCTCTCTCTTCCACGCAGCACCTTAGGCTAAGAGCGAGTGAGGGTGAAATGGGAAATGAAGCGATAATTCCGGTGAGTACAGCTAAGCTAACACATGCACTTTCAATTCTTCTTCTTCTTCTTCTCTCTTTTAATCTCGTTCGTTTCTTCACTGTGCGTGTGTCTTGTTAACTTGATTTTGTGTTTTAATGTTTATTATTTGTTGTTTGTGTGTGAATAGTATAGTATACCCCTCTTTACTTCACATCACCACTTTCTCTAAACCTTCACTAACTTTCTCTCTCTTCTTTTTTTTCTATTTTAGAATAATTGACAAAAATATTTTTTTTTTTAAATTTAATTTTTAGATTTATATTTTATTATATTTGTTATATTAATTATTTAGTAATGATGTGGGTATTACAGTATTTATCAATGAATATTTTATCGTTTTATCTTTAATTATCTGTTTTCAAAAAAATTTCGAGAATTTATGATATTCAAATTTGAGATATTTTATTTTATTTCAAAATATTTAACTTAGATATTTCTTATCAAATTACAATATTAATCATAATGTCATGTTTAGAAAAAGATAAACCAAAAAATAATAAAATAGAGAGATACAAAAATATGATTTTAGAAATTGAGCAATTAAAAACTCATTTTAATCCAAATAAAAAATTAAAATAATATTTATTTAAGTAAAATATTAATTCTTATAAATTATTGATATTTATAAATTAATTAAAAAAAATTTTAAAAATAGTAGTATTAAATTGTATGCAATATTAAAAGGTAATATACATGTAATTTTTAGATTTATATTTTATTATATTTTTTTATATTAATGATTTAGTAATGATGTGGATATTATAGAGTTTATCGATGTATTGAATTTTTTAACATTTTATTTTCAGTATTTGTTGATTGAAGAAGTTTCGAAAATTTATAATATTCAAATTTGAGAAATCTAGTTTTACTTGAAAATATTTAACTTAAATATTTCTTATCAGAATAATAATATTAATAATAATGTCATGTTTAGAGAAATATAATTTTAGAAATTGAGCAATTAAGGACTCATTTTAATCCAAATAAAAAGATTAAAATAATATTTATTTAAATAAAATATTATTTCTTATAAATTATTGATATTCATAAAATTAATAAATTAAAAAAAATAGTATTACTTAATCCTATACAATATTGGAAGGTAATATACATGTAATTTCAATATATACTTTAAAATATTAAATAGAAAAGAGAGATATTTTTGACTTGAAGATTGGCTTGAATATTGGAAGGTAATTTCAACATATTCAACTCAACTAGAAACCAAAAGTGCATGACTTTATTTCTAACTCAAATGAACAATATTTCTACTTTTGGCTTAAAACATATACATTGTTCCTTTCATTCATTTAGGATTTCCTATCTTTAAAAGGAGGCCTAAAGCTTTTCATTTCCAATCTATTATTCACAAAATCCATCACAAACTTGCTTCTTTGCAAGAAGAATTCAACTCATTAAAAGCATTGTGCATAGAAAGAAAAAATGAAAGAGTTATATTGAAATGTGACTTAATTTATGACATATTTAAAATGTTTAAAAAAAGGCCAATATTCCTTAATACAAGTACTAAATATTTGAATCTCTTAATTATTTGGTAAAAAAAATTGATGATTGACTTGACTAGTACATTAAAAGAATATATTCAAAGAGATTAATTATAAATAAATTGAAGTATCTTATATGCATAGTCTCCACACTTAATATGATAGTTTTCCAAAACAATGTACTAGCAAATGCCTCTAGTATACTAATTAATGAAATAATAAAATGATATTTACTACTAAAAAAGAAAAATTAATCATGACATTAAATGTGAAGTATAAAAGTGAATAATTGTCTTTAATTCTCAAAAGCATTCAATTTTAGCTATAATATATCATTATTAATATTTTAATAAATTACCTTTTAACTAGTGTCAAAATCAAATTTTTAAGACTACAAAATAATCTTTCATTACAAATATTTTTGTATTGAAAATAATACTTTTATTCCAAAACTTGTATATTTATAATTTATTCAATAATTAATTTTAATAATATATCAACCAGTTATTTTTAAAAACAAATATTTTTCATAAAGAAAACCGTTTAATTAATAATTATACAAAAAAATTACTAAAAAGTAAGGACGTTCGGAGTACAGGTGAACCCGAGAATCCACTCATTCAAACTAATACAACTTTTTTACTAACCCAACTCAATCATGTACAAGTCCAACCTATACCAACTCATTCAAATCTATTGATATTTGACTTTGATAATGGGTTTGAAATTTTAAAACCGCAAATTCAATTCATTAACATGTTATGCTATTTTTTTTAACTATCTAACACAATCTTTGCTATATAGACATATTATTAATTGGAAATTTTTAAACTTATACTAAAAAACTACGTAATTTTGAGTTCTTCATCACATATGGGGATAGGTATGAGTGAGATTCAACATCTCGTTAAACACCTTAATAAAAACTAAATCTTCCCCTTTTATAAATGTATTTTAATAAACTGAATAACTTCAAACATTTTTAAGCTAAACATTTTCAAAAAAACTAACTAGAAGAGTCTCATTGAGTACAATAGATGTGAGAAGTGTTAATACTATCCCCTTGCATAACCGATTTTCGAATCCGAAACTGGTTGCTACGGCCATGTTTTCGTTCTTTAAGGGTTTTATCAACTTTGACAGAACATGACAGCATACATTATATATTTGGAATAAATATTGTACACTAATGAGATAAAAGTGAAATAATATTTACATTGATTAGGCATAATTATGCATGATTAGTTTTACAATTGTGGAATTGTAATTCCGGTATATATCACTTGTTGATGATCAATAACACTTTAAAATACAACTTTGGTGTCGACTCTGTTGTATATTGAGTGTTCGTACGCTCGAGAATTTTTCGTGTCGCGACATATTGCACACAAATCACACCATAAAATGCATATATTCACATTACAGTTTCTCCCCCTTTAACAACATCAAAAAGATATATATCAAATGCGTCTAAAAACCAATTAACCAACCAAAAACAAAAATTTCAAATGAACACATGAGCTAAACATCTATGAAGAATATACAAAAACAAAGATCGAATACATAACACAAAGATAGTCATGCTACATGCAACAAAATGCAAATAAACATGCAACATCAATATTTAACAACAAACAATTAAGTGATCAAAAACTAGTATGTAAAGGAATGCATTGGCAATCATAAATAATGCATGAACAAGTATGTGTGTGTGTGTGTGTGTGTGTGTGTGTGTGTGTGTGTGTGTGTGTGTGTATATATATATATATATATATATATATATATATATATATATATATATATATATATATATATATATATATATATATATATATATATATATATATATATATATATATATATATATATATATATATATATATATATATATATATATATATATATATATATATATATATATATATATATATATATATATATATATATATATACTTGAATACACATAATTAGCAACACACATTTAAAAAAACTTAAATGCAAAGAAGAACAATTAAAACATATGATAAGATGAATGAGTAAGTAAGGAGGAAATAAGTAAACCAAAGCACAACTCTTGAACAAACATATACAATGATATAAAGTCAGATATAAGAGTTATAGAGACATATCAATGTAGTCGGTAAGAGCTATGATTTGCTACAAAATAGTGTTAGTGAAAACAATAAATATAACAAATGAAACTAAACAAAATCATCATTTTATTTAAAGCATGAAGAGTCTAAGACTCTCAAATCCCTACAAACCTTGTGAAAGGGATATGAAGATAATGGTTTTGTAAAAATATCAGCAAGCTGACTTTTAGTGTGAATGTATTCAAAAATAATGTCCCATTTTTTTCACATGATCTCTATGAAAATGGTGTTGTAACTCAATATGTATAGTTCGTGAATGAAGTATCGAATTCTTAGTGAGACTTATTGCACTGACACTATCGCACTTAATCAGAACGCAGGCAAGTTTTAAATCATTATCTAATAATTGTTGTTTTAGCCATAAAACTAGTGTACAACAACTATCAGCGGCTACATATTCAGTCTCGACAGTAGAAAGATCAATACTATGATGCTTCTTAATGTGCCAAAAAACTAAAGAACTTTCAAATAAGTGACAAGTACCACTAGTGTTTTTTCTATCTGACTTGTGTAACACCTCGTTTCTCGTTAATTTTAATTTACTTAAGTTAATATTGATTTTTATGAATTATGTGTGTGCTTAGATAATTTTATTTGATTTATTAAATGAATAGAAATTATTAGAAATTAATTAGAATTATTAGTTGATTTAATAAATTTAAATAAGAATAAAATAGGAGGTTTAAGTGAATTGAGTGGAAATTGAAATTAATATAAATAAGGGTAAAGTGGTGATAATTAGAAAGAAGTTGGGGACAAGGTGAGATAATTAAAATATTAAATTAGGTTTATTATTAAAAAGGGATTGCTGG